GGGGGTTGCCCTTCTGTGGTGGCCTTAGGTCAGAAAGAGAAATGTGGGGGGACCCAATTTAGTCAGTTTTTCTATCTGAGACATGGGTAGAGAGAGGAGGAATTGGGTCTGGAGTAGGAGAAGGGGTGAAGATGATGTGTCGCATGAAGAAAGTGGCCCTGGCCAGGACACAGTTGTGATGGGTACAGGAAAACCTTGTCCTTGTCCTTGGGATCTTGGGCAGTACACACACTGTCCTGTCACGTCCAGCAGTCACAGTGTGAAAGATTTGTTTTCTGGGAGGTTCCTATGACACATGTCCATTCATAGCAAGAACCTTCCACAGGTCTTAGGCTACCTAGAGCATCAGGATTGGACTCCTTAGCTCCACCTGCAAGCCTTCTCCAGATTCTAGGGTCTAGGCTCTAGAGTCCAGAACCTGAGGCTGCAAATTCAAGGTCTACTGCTAAACCTAGTCCACAATGCAGGCTTTTTTTTTTTTTCTGGTTGCCACAGGATGGACAGATTTTTTTTTTTTTTTGATAGGGAGTCTCACTCCGTTGCCCAGGCTGGATTGGTGCAGTGGCACGGTCTTGGCTCACTGAAACCTCCACCTCTCGGTTCAAGCAATTCTTCTGCCTCAACCTCCCCAGTAGCTGGGACTACAGGTGCATGCCACCATGCCAAGCTAACTTTTGTATTTTTAGTAGAGACAGGGTTTCCCTATATTGGCCAGGCTGGTCTCGAACTCCTGACCTCCTGATCTGCCCTCCTTGGTCTCCCAAAGTGCTGGCATTACAGGCATGAGCCACCACGCCCAGCGTTTTTTGTTTGTTTGTTTGTTTTTTGAGGCCGAATTCACTCTGTTGGCAAGGCTGGAGTTCAGTGGCGTGATCAGATCACAGCTCACTGTGGGCTCAAAGTCCTGGACTCAAGGAATCCTCTCAACTTAGCCTTCTGAGTACCTGAGACCACAGGTGTGTGCCACCACACCTGGCTAATTTTTATTTTATATTTTTAGTAGAGAGGAGGTCTTGCTATGTTGCCCAGGCTGGTCTTGAACTCCTGGGCTCAAGTGATCCTCCCTCCTTGGCCTCCCACAGTACTGGGATTATAAGTGACAAATAACTCTTGAATGTAAAAGCTTTAGACAGGACATGGGCTTTCCTGTTAGAAACAAACATCACTAGTCCCTGGTAACCCAAAATGCCCTCCATTTTTACTCATCTAGATCACCTCCCTGGCACCTGAAAGCACTTAAATTTGGGACATTTGAGTCTGAGCTCCTTGAGAGACCCAGGTCCTTGTATTTCACATGCCATCAGCCAGCATGCAGCAGATACTTGATAAATGTTTGCTGAGTGCTTGACTCTAACTGGCCTCATCTATTCCTTCTCCCTACCCTCTACTTCAGTCCACATTTCAACTGTTCTCTGAAACATTTTTCTCTCTGCCTCAAAGCTTTTTTGTGAATTCCTACTCACCCCTCAAGACCCAGCTTAAGTGGCCTCCCCTCTGGTCCACTTGTCTGCTTCCCTCCCAGTGCTCCTCTATTAGAAGACTTTGACAGCTCCCTTCTTCATGGACTAGGTTTTGAGATTGGCTGTATTTGATATATACATAGTGTTTCAGTCACTGAGAAAGACTTAGTTGGCTTAACTGACCCATGTCAAAGTGTCATGCAGAAGCCTGAGTTAGCTAGCTCACCAGCCTTGGTAAACCCCATTAGCAGCTCTGGGTCTCTGTCCCCAAATCCTGGCGCCCCAATCCTCATCTTCACTTGGGTGTAGGAAGAGGCCTCATGACTCAGGTTCTGGCCTATGGAGGGAGGAGAGTCCCTAAAAGGGCTCCAGGCAGAAGATAATATTAGTGAACATGCTGGGACCAGCCCTGTTGCCAGCCTGGCCCAGACACCCTTGGCCCATGACTTGACATTTTCTGGGGCTACCTGCTGGGCTTGGCCAAGGTGATGTGGGGCGGGTTGCCCGGGCCTGTGGGGAGCTGCTGGCAGAATGCACTCTCCAGGGCTGCAGATGGCAATGCCAGGGAACACCCACACAATGCCTCACTGGTTCCAAGGCACCCCCTCTTAAAGGCTCCACGTGCACCCCCACTCCACGGTCCAGCCTTATCTGTGCAGGGCCCCTATCAGGGTCAGCTTATCTCTTTTGCATCAAGAGGGTGGGTACATGTGAGTGCGGGAGTCAGGGAACATGGCTGTGTGTTACGGCGTGTGTGTGAGGAGATCTGTGAGTATGAGGATTGTGTGGGAATGAGTGTATGCGTGTGCATGATGTGTGACTCTGTCCATGTACGTGTGTGTGTGTGTGTGAAGGGTGAATGTCTGTGGGTATGCTCATGGGTTTGTGTGTACGTTAATGGGTATGCTTGCAGGTTTGTGTGTGAGTCTATGATTAAACTCTGTGGTTTGTGGATGTGTGTACATGTGACTCAGTGTGACAACAAAGATGTGGATGTCAGTCTTGGTTCTGCCATTTCATAACTCTTGAAAACTTAAATCCCTTCCCTTTCTTTTTTCGTAAAATATAATGGTCAGGACAAGACCATCTTTTAAATCTCCTTCCAGCTTTGATACACAACAACTGGTTTGGGGGTTGTGTCCAAGTGTGTGAAGGCTGTGCATGTACCTGTGCGTGTGTGTGAGAGAGCAGCAGGGTGGTGCTGTGCAAAGCACATGGCTTGGAATTCGGATTCCACATTTATCAGCTATGTGGTCTCAGATTAACCCCTTCCCCTCCCTGGGCCTCCCCTCTGCCGATAGGGCTAATGATTCCTATTAGGCTGCTTTGAAATCTAAGAAATATTGTTTGGGAAGCGCCTAGCCCAGAATCTGGCTCAGCTCCCTCTCTGAGATGTGTGTGCATGTGTGTGTGTGTGCATATGTGTGTGTGCACATGCACACATGTGGGTACTCACGCACACATGCTCCACTGTGCCGGTTGGTCCAGAGTACAGGGTAAGTGCCTAGATCACTCATGCCTTCTGGGGTTTCTGACTTCTGTCTGTGCTGGGAACACAGTCACCCAGGAGAGAGAGCCTTGGGAAGACAGTCTCCCAGCTACCTGTCTGGACCCACATGGTCCTGAGGCCTCCCTGCTGCTCCAGACTGGCTGTCACATGGGTGCAGTGGCCTGGAAAGGAGGATTGGGGTGGGCAGGAGACAGGCTCCCAAATCCGATTAGTGCCCACCCGCCATCCGGGGTGTTAGAGACTAAAGAGATTCTTCTTCTTAAAGGGTCAACTGCAAGTCTGGGATGGTGGCTGAGCTGATCTTGGGACCCCAGACCCCTCTAGAACGACGTCTCAAGGTGGGAGCCAGGAGCAGACAGGGCCTCGAGCTCAGAGAGCTCCCAGCCTGATGGAGAGAGCCAGAAGAGTCAGGCTAGCTCTGTGGCTGCCTGTGGTCTCGGGCCAGGAGGGCTCCAACTCTGGGCCCAGAAAAAGGAGGGGCAGAGGCTTGAGGGACTGGTAGAGACTGGGGAGAGAAGAAAGAGACAGGGCATTCTAGGTAGGAAGATCAGCATGGGCAAAGTGGGAAGGCTGGCCTGAGTAACTAATGTGCCTGTGTGTGCGCTTCTATGTGTACTAGGGAGAGGGTGCCCTAGGGGCCTTGGAGAACATAAAATCCAACTTTTCATTTTATTGGTGAGGAAGCTGAGGCTAGAGAAGGAAGGGATGTGTCTCTGGTCAGAGTGAGGTCCTGACTGACTCCATCTCAGGTCTAAGATCTGCCTCCAATTCCTGTGTTCTAAAGAGAGGGTGTCAAGCTGAGCTGCTGAGTCCCTCCTTCCCTTCTTTTTGCTGGTCCCATAGTGATCTTGGTGAAGCAGAGCAGGGGCTTAGCGGTGATGTCTGCCTTCAGGCCAATGCGAGGGTCTGGGGCTGGACACCGTATCCCTGTTCAGGGGTCTCAAACAAAGCTGGAGTGGCTGCTTACACTTGGGCCTGATCCACAAGGGCATGTCCCAGATCCACAAGGGCATGTCCCAAGCCCAGACTCTGGACACTCAGAGAAGAACCCAGCACTGAACCCCACACCTGCTGGGATCCAACACCCACACTAGCGACAGCCGCAACCACGGACCCTGAGAGAACTCACAGCTGGTCTCTGAACACAGAGAAAAGGTCCCAGCATCTGGCCCAGACGCGTCTACACAGGCTGAGTTTCCAGTGCACACTCAGTACTGGATCCCTACACCACCATCCAGAAACTCTGCGAAGAGCCCAGCATCCAAATGCGAGCACCCAGAGAGGGTCCCAGCACCCACCCTGAACACGAAGAGGAGATCCCAACACCCCAACCAGGTCCATTTGGATCGGCTTCCAATCCAGACCCAGAACGTCCTGATTCGATGCCTACAATGGACTCAGATGTGGGGCCCACACCAGAAATGGACTCAGGAGGCCTTCCTCCTTCCCACTCAGCCTCAGTGAGGCTTATCCAGAGAGATCTTCCAAGTTCCAAGACTCTTTCTTCAGAAATGTTTGATCATCTATCGGGATGACTGCGACGGGGGAAGGGGGCACGAGGCCAGGCCTGTTCCCTTTGGGGGAAAGGGGAGGGAGGATCCAGTTTGCAGGGCTGGGGTGGGAGACGCAGGCGAGGTGTGCGCCCCTACTCCTTCCACTCGGCGTGGGAGCTGGGGCGGAAGCTGTGCGCTCTCGGAGGCCCTGCGCTCCCGGTACTGCGGGCCCCTAAACAGCCCGCGGGGCGCTGGGCGCGGGGCCAGGATATCCGGCGCCGGCCCTTGAAGCGCACCCGGGCCGGGCGGGGGCGGGCTGGGCGCTGGCACCCCGGCCGCCTGCAGAGCAACGTGACTGCGCGGGCTGGGGTCCCCACCGGGACAAGGCGGCCTCTGTGCCGACCCAGCTGATTCCTCTCCGGCTGCAAATCTCTTCCGGCTGACAGCCCTGCCGGTTGGGACCAGGCGTGGGAACGGGGGGCGGGGCTGGGGGCAAGGTGGGCGCGGAGGAGGGGAGCCCATTGGCGGGAGGCCCCCAGGAGGCCACCTGCTCTGTACATCCTGGGTGGCAAGGGCTACCGTTGCGGACAGGGGAGCTGAGGCCAAGAGAGGTCGAATCTAGCCCAAGTCGCGCAACCTGTTTTTTGGTTAAAGCCAGAGTTCTGAATTAACTCTGTATTTGTTGTTGAGAGGTAGGTGGCATTTTTAGTATCAATTTATAAATGAGGGACTCTGAGGCTCAGAATTGAAGCCGCCTGCCCAACGTCCTAAGACAAGAACTGAGTGAGGCTGAGACTGGAGCCCAGGACTGCCCACTCCACATATGGGGGCCAGGCCGTCCCAGCAGACCTCTGACTCCAGGTACTCACTGGACATCCAGCCAGAGGCTTGGCATGGGCCTAAGTCACAGGGTCCCCCTGCTCAAGGCCTTGTGTCTGGTTGGTTCAGTGTGGTGGCCCTGGGGAATGAGTTCCATTAATCTCCTGAAGGACAGAAGTGGGGCTGAAGGAGGGAGATGGGGTGAGGGTGGAGGTGCCAGGTGGCTGGACAGAGGACTGGAGGGCAATGCGTCTGGGAGATGACTTTCAAGAAGCCCCTCTGCCCTCCCCGTGCAGCTGGGGATGGAGCTGGAACCCCAGAGGCTACAGATAGAGCCATGAGGTAGGCTGGGGAACCACCCAGCATCCAGCATCCAGCCTTACCCTGGTCTCCGGGAACAGGATGGGTCCTGGGAATTCTGTGGAATTAAAAAATGGGGCCTTCTCAGCAGGGAAAAAGCTCAGCTGGTTCCCCAGACTGTCTGGCTTCTGTCCTGACTCCCACAGCTGGGGCAGCTTAGGACTTTTTTCCATTCCTTGCCCAAGATTTGACCTAGACAAGGAGTGCGGGGGCTCAGAGGAGGAGGGAGGCGGCAAGGGCATGGGGGCGACTGCTGAGTGGGCATGTGACTGCCCGCTATGCGTGTGCCTGTGTGTCCACACAGGATGAATATCTTTTTGATGCTCTTACACACATGTGCCCCTGAGAATGGTCGTGGTGGCTCCGGTGGGGTGGGTGTATTGTATCTGTGGGTGCTGTTCGGGTCTGAGCACTTTGACCCTGCCAGGATCTGCGTTATCTCTCTGGGTCTGTGTGTCTGTGGCTGAACTTGTATCTGTGAGTCTTTGTGTGTGTCTGTTTCCGCCCCCAACGGAGCCCTGAATGCCATTTTGCTGCCTGAATGTGCAGAGGAATGTGGGGGCCCATGGGCTAGGGGAGCACATGTCCTGGGCTGCTGGCCTGCTGGTTATGGAAAACTACTGAGGCCTCCTGGAGCTGGGCAGCCCAGGCCAGGCCCAGAGCCAGGCTCTGCAGCTTTTGCCCTTCCAGGCTCCTCCTACCCTTTCTCTGCGGGGCTGGGGACCTGCTGAGATGGGTTCTTGGTGGATCAGAGAGCACTGCCTCCCTCCCACCACTCCCCAGATGGTTTGCCAGGCTTGGTGGGGGAGGGGAGTGAGGGGGTGAGATTCGTTTCCTCCGAAGTCCTTCCCAGCCCTGACATTCTCTCCATTCTGTGACTGTTAAAGGGATTTAAAAAGGCAACTTTACCTCCATGTGGGGGGATTGTGAAAGCAGTAGCATCTCACACTGTTAGAGCAAGAAGGGCTCCTAAAGGTAATCTAGTCTCACCCCCTCTATCTTACAGGCCCACAGTGAGGGGTCTGGATCCCCCAGTCACCTTCTGGAAGGGCAAGAACCATGTCATCAGGCCTGCTGTCTCCCCATCGCCACGGGCTTGTCCCCCATCATACTGTGTGACCTACCCTGCACAGAGGAAGAGGCTTTTGAGAAGGCCTTGGAGGATGGGAGCATTTCAACACATGGAGGTGGGGTTGAGGCTCTGGGTGGCAAGAAGACATGGGTGAAGGTGTGAAAGTGGGGCAGAGGAGTGCAGTCAGGACGGAGTGTGAGAGGGTGCCAACTGAACACACTGGGTTCTAGGACTGAAATGGTGTGTCTGAGCTACACGTGAGGTCCTTGCAGGCAGGTGTGGACTTTATCCTATAGGTGATTCTGGTACGAGGTAAAATTGCCATGTAGCCAAGTGGTTTAGGGCACATGATCCGCAGTTGAATCAGATTACCTAGTATTCCAATCCCAGCTCTAAGACTTTGGTAACTACATAACTCCCCAACCCTGAGCAGGTTACTTAAACTCTCCGTGACTCACTTTTCTCATCATTGCAATGGAGGTAGCAGGCCATGCCCGGTGGCTTGCATCTATTATCCCAGCACTTTGGGAGGCCAAGACAGGACAATAGCATGAGTTCAGGAGTTTGAGACAAGCCTGGACAAAATAGTGAGACCCTGTCTTTATTAAGAAAAAAAAAAAAAGAAAGAAAGAAATGGAAAAAATGATAGTATTTCACTCCCATGGTTGTCATGAGAAAGAAATGAGATTATAGGCAGAGCCTTCAATGCCCAATCCTGGCCAGTGCTCTGTAATAGCTGTGATGCTCCCGGCGGTGAGGCCTGTATTTAAGGCTTGTCCAGAGGGACAGAGAGAAGGCAGGGATACTGGGAGGAGTCCAGAAGAATCATGTTGATGAGACGCCATGATGAGGTCCATGACGCCGCCCCCTGGGTTAACTGGCTGGAGTCCTCAGCAGGGCTGCAGGAAGGTGGGCAGAACTCCTTACTGAGCGGTCTCGAGTTTGTCCCTGGGTGAACAGCACCTGAAAAACCATTTTCAGAGGAGGATTGGTGGAATGGGGAGGGAACTGGGGAGAGAAGGTTCTCAGCTTCTGACAGCAGGAGGGTAGCGGGGTGGGGTCCAGGAGAGAGATTTGGGAAGTGCAGGTCACTCGTTGCTTGTGGTGCCAGAGGTTGCTGGTTTGGGAGAGGTCATGCACGAAGCGAAGAGAGGAAAGGGGCCCCCGCAACCCAGGGAACCCCTTCTGAGCCAGAGCCTTGGGAGAAGCAGCAGCCACAGGGGCTGAGGAAACTGAGGCAAGCTGCGGTCACAGAAGGTGAGGGAAGAGTGTACTTCAAGGCGGGAGCATTCAAGAGAGCCCTGTCAGGGGAGACAGCGAGACAAGGAGGGCGAGGTGGAGGAAAAGGCAGCACGGAGCTGGTCGGCTTTGGCACTGAAGAGGCCACCTGTGTAGAATCCGATTTGCAGAAGAGGGAACAGAACCCAAGCTGCAGCTAGGTGAGTGGTTAATTAATGGGATGGGGAAGTGGAGGCAGAGGCAGGTGTTCTGTGACTGCTCAGAAGCTTGGCTGAAGAGAAGGGGAATGACTCATGGCAGCCAGACAAGGGAGGTTTGGAGCCTTCTGGGGACAGGGTGATGGGTGATATTCTCATATTTCCGGTGGAGAAACTGAGGCTCAGGGGTTAAGAAGTTTGTGCAAAGTCATGATAAATTATTGAGGGAGGGCAGCCCATGCTCTCTGACTCTTAATGTAGTAATTTCCTAAATGGACAATTGAGATAGTATAATACACACACACACGGATATTAGTTCTAATCATAGAAGTCAAACATGTTCATGGGAGAAATCTAGAAACAGATGCTATAGTGTAAGGGAAAAACACATAAATCACCTGTAATTCTGCCACACAGAGATAAGCATTTTTACCATTGTGGGTCATGACTTTCTACTTTTCTCCTCTGCCAGTACACATAAATACACACTGGGATCATGTTGTACAAACTGTTTTACAAATCCCTTGTTTCATTTAGCAACATAGCATAAATGCTTTTCCATAAGAATAAATATCCCTTGAGAATTATTTTTTTCTCTTTTAGCTCACAGTCTAGGCAGGAAGATAAGACTCACAGATGGGATCCTGTAGTAAGCAGTTGAGCACAGTTAATGAGGTGGCGGGAAAGTGCCTGGATCCCTGGACTGGGAGCACAGTGGGCTGGTCCTTTGGCTCCAGATGTGGCCACTGATTAGTTACGTGGCTTTTAGCACTCATAACATATTTGGGCCTTAGAACCCCAAATATCTCCAAAGGGTTGTCAGTGAGTCTCTGAAGGCCAGCTGTCACCATGGCAAAAGGGTTGAAGGAGAGTCTCAGAAAATGAAACCATGCCAGGCACGGTGGCTTATGCCCATAATCTCAGCACTTTGGGAGGCTGAGGCAAGTGAATCGCCTGAGGTCAGGAGTTCAAGACCAGCCTGGCCAACCCAGTGAAACCCCATCTCTAAAATACAAAAATTAGCTGGGCATGGTTGACCATGCCTGTAGTCTCGGCTACTTGGGAGGCTGAGGCAAGAGAATCACTTGAACCCAGGAGGCGGAGGTTGCAATGAGTCAAGATCACACCACAGCACTCCAGCCTGGGCAACAGAAGGAAACTCTGTCTCAAAAAAAAACTCAACAACAACAACAAAAAGTAAATGAAACCATATTATCATCATGATTCTGTGGGTCAATTTGTTCATCAGAAACTTGGGAAGCATATTTACCTACCCTGCCTGCCAGGATAGGTGATAATTAGGTTATCATTTATTTATTTATTTATTTTTTAGACAGAGTCTCACTCTGTCACCTAGGCTGGAGTGCACTGGCACTATCTCAGCTCACTGCAGCCTCTGTCTCTGGGGTTCCAGCGATTCTCCTGCTTCATCCTGCCGAGTAGCTGGGATTACAGGTGAACTCCCGACCTCAGGTGATCCACCTGTCTTGGCCCCCCAAAGTGCTAGGATTACCGGTGTGAGCTACCATGCCTGCCTTAGGTTAATTATTATGACGCCTACAGACAACTAATATTTGGATAATGTTTTGCTGTTTACCCACATTATCTCACTTAATCATTCCAACAATCCTGTGGGGTAGGTAGTGTTTTGTACTCTATTTTTCTGGATAAGGGAACCATAGCTAGGAGAAGTGGGGTCACTTGTTCAAGGTCAAAAGTAGTCAGTGGTAGGTTGGGGTTGAAGCCTAGGCATCTTTGTTACTACAGCCATGAATCTTCACGCTATGCCACTATGATGTATTCTGCAGGCCTGCAGAGGAGAGGGACATGGAAAAGAGGAAAAGAAAAAAAAGTAGAATGCCAAGCTGCTTCATCCTTGGTTTAGGTGTTGTTGGCCCACGTACCAATATCTGTGGGGAGTTGCCGCCCCCTGGTGTTCTGTGTATGATGTCCTGGAAGGGAGGAGAGCCAGCATCTGCCTGCCCCACTAGAGAAGTGGGGTGAGATGAGCTCAGAATAACCCCAGCTTGTCCTTTCAGAGTAGGGGCGGGGGTGGGGGAGGGGTGATCGGTACGTATTTCACCTAACAGTTCTGAGTAGAAACTTGGTATATTTCAGGCCCCACTTGCTCCTTATCCTCACTAGGGTGACCTCGCACAGGGTTAGGGGCCACTGACAATACTGTATTTCTGACTCAAGTGCTAGTTAGAAGGGTGTTACATCATAATTATTTTTTAAACTCTACATCAGTGTTTCATATACACTTCTGTAACTGTGATACAACTTAATAGAAAAACATAGGATTTTTGGCAATGCTTAGGGAATAATTTTTACTCTTGGCTGAAAAAATTTGTCATTGGCATAGCATCCAGTGGCAGAGTGGCACAGCCGGCACCTGAAGTTGTGTACTTGAAAGGAGATTTTCACCTGTTACCTCATTTTACAGTACCATAGCCTTCCGAGGAAGGTATTTATTTTCATTTTACACATGAGAAAATAGGCTCAAGATTCCCCCCACCCCCTCTACCCAACTGGTTGAAGTCAGGGAACTTTCCAAGACCCCACACTGCCCCCTTGTGGCAGTCTTCATGGCTTACTCAGTAAATAGGCCATAGTGGCATGCCCAGATGAGATTGATGTTGCCTCCAAAATCTAATATGTTGGGCTTCTTTCTTTGTGATGGGAGATGCCAGATGCACCAACTATCCTTAATCTTGAAAGAGATATTTTCGTGTTCACCTTATAAAGGATACTTTGATGTGCTAGAGACCACTGGAAGCAACACATTTCTCTAAGGCAGTAGGTTCCTCGGTTTTGGTTTGGAATTTGTTTCATAGCATCTGTTAAGTATCTGTCTTACCAGCGTGTCAAGGGTATCAAGTAGTCTCACCCCATCCAATCAATATGACTTTATCAGTGTAGTAGGCTAGCATGATCTCCCATGAAACGGTGAAATGATTAGGTCCCGGCAGGCTAGATTTTGATAGAGGGCTGGAGAGTTGATATAGCTTTGAGTGAAAAAAGTGAAGGTGTATTGATAACTCCACGAGGTAAAAGCATTCTGCTTTTAGAGGTCCCCGCGGACTGGCATTCCTAGCTCTCTGTCTTTGGATATGTTGTTTTATAGTACACCAAGGAAGTTGTGACCTTTCTCCTAAATGTAATGTAGGCCACCTTTAAGTCCAAGTTTCAGTTAACCAGCCCAGTAAGCTGTTATAGCCACTCTCAGTTTCTTGCTATAACATATCTGTGTCAATGAATTCAGTGCCATCAAAAATTACAGTTTTCTTTCTCAGGTATAACACTCTTGGAATCCACTTCCATAAATATTTCCCAGCCTTGCAAAATGTATACTGGCAAAAACTTGCAATACTTTGGGTGTTTTTGATATCTTTTTTTTTTTTTTTGAGACAGAGTCTTGCTCTGTCACTCAGGCTGGAGTGCAGTGGCATGATCTTGGCTCACTATAACCTCCATCTCCTGGGTTCAAGCAGTTCTCCTGCCTCAACCTCCCAAGTAGCTAGGATTACAGGTGCCCGCCATACAAATACAAAACACCCGGCTAATTTTTGTATTTTTAGTAGAGATGGAGTTTTGCCATGGTGGCCAGGCTGGTCTCAAACTCCTGACCTCATGTGATCTGCCTGCCTTGGCCTCCCAAAGTGCTGGGAATACAGAT